GGCTTAGTTTCCTCTTTCCTTTTTTTTAAGGGGCCCCCCCCCCCCCCCCCCCCCCGGCATTGGCTGGTATGGAACCTGCAGCTACGAGCGCCACGCGATCCTGGAGTGGTTTGCGGTTTGCCGGACGAACTCCAGGCCGCCCACCTCTCCCATGACGAGCGCGGCCGTGGGCAGCGAGAGCGTCACGAGCAACCACGCCCTCAAGGGCAGGATTCAGGTATCCCTAACCCTTACCCTAACCCTAACGCTAACCCTAACCCTAACCCTAGCGCTAACCCTAACCCTATCCCTAACCCTAGCGCTAACCCTAACCCTACCGTAAATGGCGGAGAAACCCTACCGTGGGAGGCGGAGATGGCTCCTAGACTGACTTTCAAAACTTCGTTGCCCAGGGCGCAGAAAGAGCTCGATGCGTCAATGGAAGGCACTGGACGAGATGTTTCCAAAAACCACCATATTTGGTGTCGGCACAATGTTGGGTGTGGACAAATCGAGCTTTAAAACTCGGTCTCGGCGGGGTACCATCTATCTATCTGCATGTTGTCGGGCGAGTGACAGCCCGGTTGGTTTTCCACGCGACGACCTTTGGGCTTGAAGGCGACCATCATCATTCGGGTTTGTTGGGTTTTTGTCCGCCATCCTGTCTTTGCACGAAAGTTTCGTTTGCGAAGGCTTCACGTGATATGTTCCGAGTCATGATGTGCCGGTGCGGTCGGCTACATGTTCAACTGCATCATACACAGCGGTGCCGATCAAGGCGCAGGGAAGGAGAACAGGAACCAAACAGTGTCGAGGAAGATAAGGGCCGTATCCTATGTAAAACCTCTTCCCTTCCGTCCTCATCGCCTTGAGGCTTGCAGCCTTGGTTCAGCTTTCCTCTACGTTCGCGGACAGTGCCGTAGCTTCCACGGTCAGCACCGCATCCGGTGCTCTTCGAACTCCTCTCTCTTGGGCGAAAGACGTTTCAAGTCTGCGAGCGATGGTGAACTTTGTCGACAAACGGTTGTTGTTGTTGTTGTTGTTGTTGTTTCTCACACTAGCTCAATAGTCCACAAAAATGGGGAGCCCGTGGTCGCAAAAACCCGGCACATACGACGCCGGGGGGAAACGAAGCAAAAAATAGGGTAGAAACCACTCGGAAAAGAAAACAAAATGATAGAAAGAAAATAACAGCTAGTATTCCCGCGTCGCCACCACGACAATGGCAGCCTTCAAGAACGCCTCCTAGCTAGATTTCCATCACAATAGCGGTATCTCATTTTTTGTATACTGTAAAGTGGTTAAGTCTCCTCCGTCACATAAACCGCTCGAAACCGTGGCCTTGACGACGGTGCACCGTCAGAAAAAACCGCCAAAATCATGTGGATACCCGTTTCCGCCACCTCAGCAGTCTCAACATGACTTGGACGATCGGACGGTGTTTTTTTTTTTTTTTCAGGACTGGGTGTTGGAAGCGAACTCCGCAGAAGACCAAGGATCGGACGTGAGTGTCGGAAAGGGCAAGGGCAAGGAAAAGGACAGGGATGGAAGCGGCACGGCCGGTTGGGAGCCTCCGGTGAACAAGATCAAGGTGCTGCTACGGTCGCTGGCATCGTTTTGTCGAAGATTATAGTGTTGTTGTTGCTGGTTGTCGTTGTTTATTCGGCTGTCGTTGTGGGTTCAGGACTTGCACTCCTCTGCTCTTCGCGCTGAACTCGTTGCTCACGAGAACGCCGCATTTTCGCAGCGTTGGGGAAGCATTGTCAAGGTTTACAGGAAAATGCCGAGCATGGACTACTCGAGAAGGGACCAGTGTGGCGGTTCACGTGTATTGTTTTGCCCTTCAGTTTTTTTTCCCGCGTTTGCGTGTATTTCTACAAGTATTTTTTGTTTTGTTTTTTGCCCTACAACCCGTTGGGGGCCTAGTCGCGCCCTTTTGGGCACACTCGTTAGGTACCGCCCATTTTTTTCTCAACGAGATTGGTGTCGGCACCACTGTCATGGGTCCTGTCCCGTCCCCCGCGCATGAAGAAGCACTTCGGCGGCTGTGTTGTCCTCTTACAGTTTATATCGGCGTGGGAACTGGCGAGATTTTAGGGTCCCCGGAGCTCTCTTTCGTGTGGCGGGTGGACATGAATCTTCGCACCCGCGGTTGCCCTTCGTTTCCGAGTCCAGTAATAGAGTTCGCTGAAGCGAAAACAATACGGACTTACTGTGCTTCATGTTGGTTGGCTCTTGGAGAAGGCCATGGAGACAGGCGCTCCTGCTGCCGTTGTGACATCGCGTGAACGTTCTGGGCCTCGCGCCACACTTCCAATGTTTCGTACTGTGTGTTTCCCACACAGCATACCAATGTCGCACGTTGAACCTGAATTTTCTGTTTCCTGCACACTCTATATATCAACGTCGCACTTTGAACATGTAGCATGTGTTTCCCACTCACCATATCGCACTTTGAAAACGTGAGCCTGTACGTTGTGTTTCCAACACACCAGACAAGTATCAACGTTGCACTGTGAACGTGTAACACGTGTTTCGCACGCACCATATCGGTGTCGCACTTTAACAAACCCGTTACAATAACGAACCTGTACTTTGTGTTTGCCACACACCATATCAGCGCCCGTGTTGCTCTCTCACGCTCGTGCCGGCACGGCAGATCGAGGTCCGCTACGGCAGCAAGCGCTACGACGTTACCGTCGACCGCAACGACGTGTTCCACGGAATAGAACGCCTCAAGACATTCGTCTCCAGGAAGAAGGCGCTAGCGTCGATCACGCCTGAGCCCCAAGGCGGCCGAGTTGACGCCAGCGGCGGAAGCGGGAGGAGGGACGGGGGCGGAGGGGCGTCATCGTCCGGCAGCGCTACCGCTGCGTCGGCCGCGACCTCCTCGCCGACGGTTCGCCCCGACCGAATCCGCCTGATCCACGGAGGGTGCACGCTGGTGAGTGGGGGCTCGCTGAAGGTCAGGCCCGTTGCCTCTACATTGACCCGTTGCCTGTGAATAGGATGGATGTTGCTGTTGTATTGTGAACTGAGAAGGCCCAGTTTTACGTCACATCCGGGATATGTTCATCAAAGGTGTTGGTCCTCCGTTCCGCCTTCCCCCCACCCCCCCCACGATCGAACTTGCCCTCGCTTTCGTTGGGGGGCGTGTTCTTTTTTACGGGCTCGATTGGAGGGTTGTGGTTTCTGTACATGGTGGTCTGGAAAAACTAGCTCTAAATACGCCGTAGCCAGAGCTCTGTTGGGCTGGTTGTCTGGACCAAGAACGGCTCCCTCGGATGCGGTGGTATCTCCAGAAACCTAGAAATAACGGCTTCGAAAGAGCACGGCGCCGGTTGCATGGCGTGTCGATGCGCCAAGAGCAGGGCGTTGGTCTCTGAGCCGTGGCATGATTTCGTCTTGGCATCAGACGGTATTTCTCGTCGCGTTGAGAGGCGGACCTCTTCTCTGTAAGAAAAAAACAGAAAAAAAAACGCCTTTGTTTGCATGCCCGGTCTTCTTTCACAGCTTAGCAAGTATTTGGCTTCATTTTTTTTGTTTTGCAATTGTCTGTGCACTTGTTTTTTTTGTTTAGTTTCGGTTGACCATGAGCCTCTGCACTTGATTTTTTTTTTGTCAGGGGTCGATGTGGTCCCTCAAGGATGGCGACGTGGTCGTGGCCGTGGACAAGAACTCCCTGACTTCTCCGACCTTCACCGTCAAGATTGAGGGAGGCCGCGACATGTTCCTCCTTTCCCGCAGGTACTCGTGCATCGATCGCCTTTCGTGTCCCAGTCCCATCAGTATCCGCGAAAATGTTAAAATGTTATCTCCTTGCGTGATTCGACTTGATCGAGTTGGTGGGAAGGTTTTAGGGATGAATGCTCCGAATGATTTATGACTTGGACGTGGATATTTTAGTTACAAACCTATCAGCGATCGGGCAGTACGGATTCCCCCGCCCCCCGGTGCGGTCTTTCCACAAGTTTCCCGTCACCTCGGGGTAGTCGATGACGAGGGTGTAGTGGTTTTTGGCCTGTGCGGAAGGGTAACGGTGGCAACACGCTCGTCCTTCCACAGCTGGCGGTACGTGAAATCCGATCCGAAGTTCAACGTGAAACACAGGCGAATGTAGTAAGAGTGTTATTGCGTTGAAGCAGATTTCAGCGAGGGGTGTGTTATCTACCGTTGAGACGCGCACCCCAAAACCATGATCTGAAATAGCCGAGACCTATTGGTTATTTCGTTCGCCCCATCCTGCGTTGGAGGTTTATGCTGATAGCCTTCTCCTTGGAGAGTGAATCGGTCATGGGAAGGGTCTGGGTGTGGTGGCGTGACCCTGAAAAGCGGGTAAACTCGTGTTGAGCGTGTTTTCTTGTGCGCACCCTTCTACCTTGCCTGTGTCGTCCCAGGGGGGAGACCAACTTCTCGCTAAAGCTCCGCATCTGGCTCAAGTATCCTTTCGAGCGCCCCAGCAAAGTCACGTGAGTGACCAACACGTGTGTATGGCAAGCAGAAATATTTGTTTACCTTGGGCTTGCGGAACCGCATCTGGCTGAAGCATCCTTTTGCCCGCCGCCGCAAAGTCGCGTGAGTGGCCTGCGCGTGCGTGTATGACAGTATTAGTGTGTTGTGCTCTTGGACTGGCTGAAACATCAGTTTGACCGCCCCAGCATGTGGCTTTACGCAGGTATGCATCGCAGTATCAGTCTACTCTGCTCTTAATGAGGTGGATTATTATACTTATGAACCGTTAATACAAGTGTCTCTCTCCCGTTGAGCTTTCGACCGTGAGGCAGACCCCTCTGCCTATTTCGACCAGCCACATTGCCCTACTCACGCCTGATGACTGCTGCACCTCGTCACATTTTCGAAGCCAACACCAAGGAAGATCCGGAAGGGTTTTGTAGTAGCCTGAACGGTCATGTTCCACCATGACAGAGCCCGACTATTCGCTATTTTTTGGGACGGGTGTGTACGGAACGAGGTAACTTGGTTCGCCAGAATAAACAGTGTCGAAGACCCGCACACTGGGTTGTATTTCAAGCAGGTTTCACGACACTACCCCCTCCAAGCAATCTCCTTAGACCTCGTCACTCACCTGTCCGCGCATCTAGCTCTCCCCTACCGGTACCTAGACTAAGTAATGGGTTCGGATAACGGCAACAATAGGTTGTGGTACGACCTGAAGGATGTTGGAGACGGCCAGTACCGAGGGTTCCTCCAAAAGAATGCCGGTTGCCCACCGGTTCCGGACGCCGTTGCTTCTCCGACGGCATCCGCAGCTGATGGCGGAAGCGAGGGGCTTTGTGTCTTGGACTTACAGCGATCGGACCCATACAGGTATGTATGGTTTTTCTGAAAAATTGGCCTCAACAATGTGAATGGTGGGGTGCCGTACTGTACTCGAGGAGGGGGGGTGGTGGTTGATTCCACGAACCCCCTCTCGTTGAACCTGACGAAGCCTGCACCGGGTGCATGTACCATGTGGTGTGGCCGTTACACCCGTGTTCGGGCTGAAAATATCGAGCGCCTTCTTTTGCCGTGTTCGAGTTGTCCCGAAACGGTTTGACGTATTTCCCAAGTTTCATGTCTTGGACCATGCGAGTAGTTGGTAGCTCTTCCGAAATTTCAACCTTGCCCTCCGAATTTTGCGTCGTGCTCCTTTAATGCTTGTGTGACCTGACCGAATATCGCACGTTTATTCTCTATGGTTGACTTCTGTAGTGTTGATGGCTGAATTTGTTCGTGTTGGGGATATGTCAGGTCTCGGAAGCAGTCGAGGCTCTCCCTTACGAGGATGGACGTCTCAAAACAGCTCTTCCACGCCTTCATCAACAGGTGGGTGCAGCGGTCGCGTTCCTGACGTTGTCGCCGTTAGCTGTTGGCTCCCGTTTCACACCACTACCCACCACTGCCTCCTCCTTGTTCTTGGATTCGCAGAAAATCATTCCCGATAAACTCATTCCCGATGCCTCAAACAAACTATGCGAAGTCAAACGACACAAATTAACACCAACGGGATTATCCTTATGCGAATTACTTACATAAGCAAACAAAATATAAGTCAATGAGGAACAAGCTCGAGTGGCACATACATGTAGCGGGATGGGGCGCACGACGCTCAACAAGGGAACAGATTTACTCGGACGTCCGAATTCTAACCCTGACATTGCGTAGCAGATTAATTTTATTCCCTTCTGACGGCTGGTGGGGAGGGACGTACCTGAGTCCTCGGACAAGTCGAACATATACGTGGAGGTAGATGTTTTTCTTTAGCGTGCACACTCAAAATTGCAGACATGTACAGAAATCCGCTTGAAATGACCCGTCGCTGCACCTTGCTCCTACGTGTTGCTTTTGTTGCTGGCATTGTTTCTGCTGCTGCTGCTGCTGCTGTTGTTGCCGCCACTGCCGCCGCCGCCGCCGCCGCCGCTGGTGCCGTCAATATTGCGGGTCGACTTCTCCCCTAGTACAGGCAGCAAGCGTACGACCTTCCCGTGGAGGTCGGCCTCGTTTCCTTCGGAGATGACGTTGACGTCCCCTGCGAACCCACCCCTCTCTTCGAGAACTTCCGGGACGAGGTGTGCAAACCACAATATAAAATTTTCGCTTGCCCGCACAGTTCTGCCGGCGGATGTGTTACGGCAAGGCGCAGCACACAACGTTATGAACGTGTACACTCGGATATAAAACATTTGTCGCACAACGTGATGCAAGCTTACTCGGATACATACAGTATACGTTTTTCACACGACGTGATGCTCGTGCACTCGGATACGTGCCGTAGGTTCCGGTACATGCACCGGTTAGGGAATGAATCCTGGACCGAAATAATGGTGTTGGAAGCATAAGGTGTGTTTCCCCCCCCCCCCCTTCCGCGTATTATTTGGAGGCATATCGCGGACTAGCCCACGGCCAGCGCTGCGTGCAGCATGTAGTGCCCAGGGGCTGTGTCCTGTTACTTCGGCGTTTTCGTGCGATTTTCTCGCCGTCTTAGCAACGGCCGCCGTATTTTTTTTTTGTGCGAAGAGGTTTGGTAAATATGTACATCTGATCGTTGTCTGTTACTATTGTGGCCTTACAGAGGAAGCGATATCTTCCTGTAGTATGTGACATTTGTTTATCGTTTACCACTTCACACAATACAGCCGCCTGTCTTACCGCCGCCACACCAGGTGGACACGTTGACACCGGCCGGAAACACCAAGCTTTTCGACGCCATCTCAGGTACGCGCAACCAACCAACACCGGTTTGGTGGTCTTGTTATTGTTGCCGTATATAGAACTGTTCCGGTCTCTTTTCAGAACGTTATAGCATCTGTACGGGTCCAGCTGACCCGGACGCCTTCCGTGGTCGCTGGTCAATTACGCCCACCCCCCGTAAGAAGGGTGCGAACTTCTAGAGAAGTGAAGAAATGGAGACACATTTCCCTGGTCTTTGCGGCCGAGGCGACGCGTTGCTGCCCTCCCAGGCTATCAGAAACATGCACTCCGTTCTTCCCGCTTCGGCTTTATTTCCTTCTATTTCACATTTTCTTGTTGGGTGGAACAGGCTATCAATTTCTCGCTCTTTTCGTTGCTGTTGGTGCGGTGCAGAGGCTTGCACCTTGCTGGAGAAGTGGCAGACGGAGTGGGTGGAGAAGGCTGACAAGAGGAAGGAGGAGGAAAACCGCAAGAGGAAAGCCGCCGGAGGTGTGTGACTGCTGTTGGCATTCTTGTTCGCTGTTGTTGTTGTTTTGGTTGTTTTACCGTTTTTTTTTTTGTGTTTTGTTGCTGTTGTTGTGTTATTGACTGTGTTGGTGGTGTTGGTGGTGTTGGCGGTGGTGGTGGTGGTGGTGGTTGCTGTTGTTGTCGTTGCGGCGGCGGCGTTTCCCGTTTTGTGCGCCTCAAGGCGTAACTAACCCCTCTTTTTTAGCAGAACAGGGGTTAGGAAACAGGATGTCAGAATCCCCTGTTCCCCGAGAAGAAAGGTGATTTAAGATTAAGGAACGAACACTGGACTTCGGAGTCCCCTGTTCCATGTTGCTTTCTCCTCATCATACCACCGGCAACACCAGCACTTAGACATGTAGCGCGGAACTCTCAGCGGGTGGAGTATGCCCCCCCCCCCCCCCCCCCTCACTACTACATTGTTGG